CATGGGAAGGAAACAACTGTTTCTCCTGTGTCCCCAGGCCATGCATCTTCCAAGACCGAACCCCTCCCCTGCATCTTTTGTATATTAAAAAGAATGTGAAACTAATGGATCCTACATAAATACATTTCCTTTTAGATTTGCAAAGCCTTCATACGATTTCACGAGGGGGTGGGAAGACAGCTCAGTTGGGAGAGTACTTGCCTTGCCAGCATGAAGATCTGAGTTCCATCCATAAAACCCAATAAGAAAGGCTGGGTGTGGTGCTATGTGCTTAGAATCCCAGTAAGCCGGGGGGGGGGGGAAGGTAGGCCGTTCCTGGGGGTTCTCTGGCCAGCCAGCCTAGCCTAGCCTACTTGGTGAGTTCCAGGCCAGTGAGAGACTCTGTCTCAAAAATAACAAGGTGGGTGGCTCTGCAAGAATGATCCTGAAGTTGACTTCTGACCTACATGTGCAGGTGTACACACCCACTCCCATATACCGGCCCACGCCCCATTTGGATCTGTAACACAAAGGTCCATTTTCTTTGGGAATCATCTCCATTGCCAAGGTTTAGGCGGCATAAATATGTTCTTAAGTAAGAAGTCACAAAAGCACCAAGCTGGAGTAATAAGCAGATTTGAAGATGATTATTGTGTTTTGGGGATGAATCACTACTTGTCTGAACTGTGGGGAGGTCGAAGGTATTTTTAATTTAATGGATTAATCATGGATGTCTGAAGTTCTCGCTCCTTCCCATGAAAGCAATGTAGGGGCTTTGCAGCAAGCTATAAATCATGTCAGGATTTGGGCCTCATCTCTGGCAGCCTGGGCTATGGGCAAGTTATACTAATTTGTGTGAGGTAGTGTAGCTTCCTGGAAGGGTTCCTTTAAGCAGCTGGGTTAAGGCAGTCATGGAAGCGGGGAGTCTCAGAAGATGGTGGTTGTCCAGTCCGTGTATGGGATCCCAACTCTGCTACCAGACAGCTTGGGAGTAGCGTGGCCCTAGAGAGAAGAAACCTATATTTTGGATGATCATCTTTTCCGCATATCTGTATGATGGGCTGGAGGCCCAGCAAATGGCCAGTAGCTTTGATTATCAGTGTCTACCAGCAGCTATGACTAACTATGGCTTAAGATCAATCCAAAGCCTCCCCTAAGGCTGCCTCTCCTTTATCCCATGTATTTCTCAAACATCTTCCTGCCAGACCAGGAAGGGACCAAAGCAGACCTCCAGCAGCACAGTAGGCGACTGGCCAAACTCCACCCAAGCTGCTCAGGGCCATCTTTCATATCCTCAGGTGTAGGGTGGATGGTAAAAAGAATAGGTTCATGTCACTACCCATGTCCCCTCCTTCCTCAGGAGACCCTGTAGCAACTCAGCCCACTGAGAACCTCCAGGGCCTTCCTAGCCTTCTAGTCTTCTGCAGAGAGGCTCCCTCCTTCAGTACCAAGCCATAGCCCTCAAAGATCTGCAAGATTCCTACAGTGACCCAGTTCTTCCTGGAAACCATGCACCATCAGGAGTCACTGAGCCCTCTGGGGAACCAGGCGACACCCAGCTGTGTGTTCCACCCACTTCAGACCTGCTGAAGCCAAAGGCTGGATCTGAGACTGCCACTTAGTGCTCTGTCCTCAGAGTCTGTTTCAATGGCTGCTTCCAACGTGGTCTGAGCTGTGCACCAGACTTGGAGACATGGGATGCAGGGCTCCTATCCTCTGTTTCTCCAGAGTGTGCAGTCCAGATAACCGCAACAAAGACCTGACAACTGCCTACCCTGTACCTCAGATCCAGGATCTCTAAGGGCAGTTTCATGGCATCATAGCTGGGTAGGCACTGGCCCAGGTGTTGTCAAGGTTTTTCTGTAGCTATTAGCTATGTGTGTGTCTGATGTAAGGGTATGTCACCCCAGTTCTCAGAGTCCCAGTGACCTTGCCTGTAAGATAGGGAAGACACATGGTAGGTATCCAGTAAACGTTACTACTGTAATTATGGTTTCAGGATATCCTAATTTCCCTGTCTTTCCACACAGATGCACACTGATTCATTCTAAGGCTGACAGAAGTTTAAGTCCTGTAGCACTTTGAAAACTTCCTGCCTTTTTCTGGGGTCAGCAGATCATTATGTTGTATCCTTGGGAGATAATCATAGTGCCTACTGTCGAGGTGATCCCATGAGGGTGTTGCATGCCACATCAATTGCCTTTGTGAGTGCCAGGAGCTATATATAGCACCCGATAGGACCAGCCCAGCTGTCCAGCAGGTCACACAATGAAGGAGGAAACTGATCACACGATATCCAGCTCCCAGCGTACTCTCCCCACACCATCAATGACTCTTCCTTTGGCTAGTAGTGAAGTCTTGAATCTCTCAACAGTTAGGGCGTGGGTCTATGAATCTCTTCTTCAGAAGGCTCTCCAGCCCCTCTGAATAGTGTAATAGTTCATCTTCATTGTCAGCTTGATGATGAGACATGTCTTGGCACACTCATAAGGATGCTATCAGAGAAAACCTGAGGCGGGAAGACCCATCCTAATTGTGCCTAGAATTATCCTGTGGCCGGGGTCCTAGCCTGAGTACAAAGGAGAAGGTAAGCTGAGCTCCACCATTCATCTCTCTTACTGTTTTCTGTCTGGGAGCGGCTGCCTCACACCCCACAACCATGCCTTTCCCTCTGTAATGGAGAATGCATCCTCAAACTCTGAGCCCAGATATAACCTTCATCCCCCGAGCTACCTTCTCAGCAGGCAGTTTGTCACAGCAGTGAGGGAAGAAGCCAAGATAGTAGGCAAGCAGTCCATTTCCCCTTCGGAGACAGTCTAAGCCCAGGAATGCTGTGGTGCTGAGATCTCGCTATTGAATCCATCCATACCATGAGCCCATGCTTAGTCTTCCAGGTCCCCAGGGACCTCAACACAGGGTCTGCTACATCATTTATGAAGGAGCTGGAGACTTTAGAGCCTCCTCCAATAGAGGAGACATCTAGGAGGTTCTCACGTTGCTGTGTATGAGTTCCCTCCTCTTCACGTTTGTCTTAGAGGAGAGAAAGCCCCAGCTCTCTCCTTTTGCTTTAGACTATTTAAATTTTAAGATTTATTTTTGTGTCTGTGTGTTCATCTGTGTGAGGGTATGTGAATGTGAGTATAGATAGCTGTGGAGGTCAGAAGAGGGCGCTAGATCCTCTGGAGCTATAGGTAGTTGTGAACCACTGGATATGGTTGCTGAAAACTGAGCTTATATCCTCTGGAAGAGCAGGGAGCATTCTTAACCACTGAGCCAGCTCTCCAGCCCTGTGCCTGGGCCTCTTACGAGTAGGACTGGATGGAAGGTCTGTGTGATACCAGATGAGTGTACTTATGCAGCCTGCCTGAAGATCTGAGGGAATGGAACAGAAAGTAGAGCTGATTTGAAACTGAATAGTCACTTTCAGCCTCTGGTCATCACTTGTCAGAGTCAAATGGTGACATTCTCTGCACAGCATATGTTCTACTTGGACCAGTCTCTGCTAGAAGTGTCCCCTACTACCTGTGCTGCATAGAAGTCTAGTTCCTGAATGATCCCCAAGTCTCTGGGTTCGTTCCTGTTGGGGTATAATAAGTAGGAACACTTAAGTGTGGTGAAATCCAGATACATTTTTTTTAATAGAGTATCATGTAGTCCAGGCTGGCCCCAAGCTCATTATTGTATAGTTAAGGATGCCCTTGAACATCTGATCCTTCTAACTCTACCTTCTCAGTTTGTGGGATGCTGGGGACCAAACCCAGGACTTTGCACTTGCTAGGCAAACACTCTACCAACTGAGTTAAATTGCCAACTAGAATCCCTGATACTTAATCTGAACACACAGATATGAAATTCCAAAGGTACAACTCAGCTTGAGGGAAATTCTAATAAGATAATACTTAGACATGCACAAATATAAAAATCCCATAGACACTCTGTCAAGATAAACACAGGGCAAGCTGAAGATGCCCAGTCAGCCCTTAAACGGCTTGCCCCTCACTCTGGATCCTTGAGGACAGTCAAGGTGAATCTCATGACGTCATCATTCCTGACACCTCACTCAGTTTCTCCTAGGAGAAGTGTCCCAATCACCAGTTGTCACAGAGGATCTGAGAGCTGAGTTGCCTCACAGTTCCCTGATACCCTAGTGCCTGCTCCAAGTCTGATCAATGACAGTTGGGCTTAGTGGGATGAGGCTAATTCCCTGGACATGATGGTTCAGGATGGGACTTCAGAGAGACTGGGGCTCGTTTTGGTGATGGGTGGAACTAGACGGAGATGGCAAGCAGGGTGATATGGAGGTAGGCTCTACTTCCACAATGGCCCCAGACAGTAAATGATTTCCTTTAAAGCCACCCATAGAGTGGGTGACAGCATGAACCCTTGGGAGTCTCTGCACAGTGCTTAATCAGGACGGGCTACAAATGGGATCATGGACTCTGGCTTGGAAAGCTGCTAGGTGGGAGAGGGAAGCGTAGCCAGGAGGGGGGTCAGTTCCTCCTTGCCTTCAAGATCGCTGGTAATGTCTGGTCCTGAACCAGTGAAAACAATCCCTCCAATCATACCCATCCATCCTCACTGGCTGAGAGGAGGCTCATGGAGCCCTGTGGGGAAAGGCTGCTGAAGGATACCGCGCCTTCTAGATGGCACAACAATATGGTGTCATGTCCCCTGTAAGAGCAATGGTGGCTTGGACACAGGTTCTGTAAATGCTAGATCCAGAGATCAAAGTATCATGTTGCCCGTGGGCCACACCTGTCCCCTACTTCACGGGGGCCACTGGAGCCTCCGCAGCCCAGGGTGACTTGCCTGCATGGCTCATCCCCAAGCCCCCTCCCTCCGCATTTGGATTCATTTCATCTGTGGAAGCCGTGGGTAAAACGAATCCGGCACTTCCTAAGCCATTCTCTTTATTGCAACAGATGGGCTGCTTATGTCTTTAACAAGACAAAATGCAAGAGAGAGTAAGGTTTTCTCGGAGCAGCGTGGAGGGGACAGCATGCACGGAGCCATTTACTAACCATTCACCTGCAGGACGTGGGTCTGGAACAGCTGCTCGTGGCCCAAGGCGTGGCAGGTGTAGTTGCCCATGTGGATTGTGGTCACCTTGGTGATGTAAAGGGAGTCATCCTCTCCGAAGTCCTGTGGGCAAAGAATGATGATGAGCAGACTGGACAGCTGGTGAGCGAGTTTCCCAGGAAAAACATCACCCTCCCTGGTGCCTCCTCCTTCCTGACCTCCCCTACTCTGCAATCAAATTCCCTCCAGCTCCCGGGGATGCTGGCTTCTTTCACAGGACGCGTGTTCACCTGGCAGAAGGCTCGATTCCGGAGGGATGATCTTATTGAGAGCAAAGGGTGAAAACTCTCTTAAAGGGCTAGATGGTGAATATTTCAGCCTCCAGAGTCTTCTGGTTTTTGTTAGCTCCTTGGCTCTGCCAGAATAGCCTGACAATAGCCAGTTTGATATGCATTTGAATGAGTGTGGTTGTGTTTGGTGGAATCAGATCTCCAAGTGAGTATGGGCAAAATGCTGCGGGGGCCTGACCCACTAGCTTATGGAGGACCAAGGCAGCTTATAGGATCGCGGAGTAGCCTACCTAGACTGGCCACCCCTCCTCAGTCCAACCTGGCTGTCTGCTTCTTGTCAATCTTCAGGAGGGTGGGGTGAGGACCTAGGGAATGGTGCTGGGGTTTCCAAGGAAGAGTCCCTCTTGGTATAGGATCGTAGTCATCCAAGGAAAGAGAGACAGAATGAATGGGAATATGCGACAAACCAAAACAAGGCAGGGACATCAGAGAGACAGAAGAGCCTTTCCCAGGATTTCTACAGGAAGTAACCCAGTCGGTCTCGGCTCAGTGGTCCTTGCAGCCTCCTGGGATGGCTCCTCCTGGGTCAGAGTATATGGAGGGGTCCAATGAACACAGGGCACTAGCATCTCTCTGGTCAGCTGTATTCTTTCTTGCAGAGTTGTTCATGAAGCTGGGTCCTTCCAGGCACCAGCCGCTGACAAGTTAGGGCTCATGATTTCTTTGTTATGGAAATCCCTCAGTAGGTTTGGCTTTAGCTACCAGGCATCTCCAGGGATGTGGGACTTGGCACTGTTGAGACCTTGAAGGCCTCAGCTTAAGGGTAAGAAAAAGGGGCTGCCCAGGGGTTATACATTGGAGACATGAAGAGCTTCCTTTGTCTGCAGTGGTACTGTGGTGGCCACCAGCTACCATGCACAAGATGTCTGAGCTGCTCTGGGGGTGGGGTGGGGGGGTCACTCCTTAACGCACTGCTTCTGTCCAGGCAGCAATGACTCTCTCCCCTGCTCATACCCCCAGGACCTGATCACAACCACAGGAGTCCCTTTAAAGATGTTTGGTGGGGGTCTGGGTAGAGTGTTTGCCTAGCATGTGCAGAGCCTGAGGTTGGTGCCTAGAGCACACACAGGTGTGATGGTACACACCTGTAATCCCAACAGGCCAGAGGTGGAGGCGGGAGGATCAGGCTCAAGGCCATCGTCATCTATATGGTGCATTCGAGGCCAGTCTGGGGTACATGAGCTCATATTTCAGAGGGGAACAACAACAACAAAAAGATGCTTTTGGGTTAACTTAGCGCAAATGAAGGATGAGAGAAAGGTACAAGGCAGTGTCAGGAAGGTTGATAGTGAACATGGCGCCTGCTTTCAATATTAGTAAAAAAAAACAAACAACAACCACAAGACAGACAGACAAATAAAAAATGGCCCACCATGCTCTCCTCTTGAAGAAGGTTCTGTAACCCTGCACGCTGACTGTAAAACATCTCGTTGCTTAAAAGAGTACATCCCTACCATTCCGTGGAAGTCTCAGTAATAAATGAACACAGCAGATAGCCGACTTACCCTGTGTTCTAATAGAGCCATCAGGGCTCACACCTGAGTTGCTGATGAAAAATTAATGGCTGGTCAATGCTGGGATGACATGTTCTGTCTCAGCTGTGTCCTGAGTCAGAAAATGTGTTGAGAAAAATATGTTTCTCTTGGAGTCCAGTGGTGGGATGGCAGGCCTCTGAAATATGTCCGGGAGGCAGGAGTAAGTCCCTCCCCCCGTGTGTGTGTGTTGGGGGACTTGTAGCTCATGCTTATGGGGATGCTAATAGGGAGGGAAACCCAGTGCTCCACATGGTCAGATCCAGGCGGACTGCATCCCAAAGTGCAGAACCAGCGCTGCTTATTGGGAGGCTGGTGTGAGGTCTTTTGAATTTTTCTTCACTCTTCACACCATAGCCCTGTTAGAGTCCTTGAAGGTAACCTCAGACTCCTGTGGCCCCTCCCTCTTGTCCCCACCATCTCAGCATCGCTAATCACCTGGGTCACAGCACAGATGAGGTGGCTGTGCAAAGTCAAACTCCCAGGGGAGTCACCTGAGAGTGGTACCCCATTAGCATCAGCACACAGAGTTCAAGAGGTTACGTGTGTCGGAACCTAACTTGTGCTAGTCCTTCCTGAAGGCCACTGTTCTATATCTAGAGATTCTCAACACACCAGGGGAGAAAATTGTCAAAAAAAAAAAAATGGTGTCTCTGCAGACTTTGTTCTTGTCAACTCCTTGAAGCGGGCAGCATAGTAACGGTCTGTGTAGCATCTATATCATGTGACATATGCACATTATGTAGAGATGGTTTAGGGGAGGGGATGCATGAGCATGCAAATGCTATGCCATTTTATACAAAGGGCTTGAACAGCTCCTGGGTTTACATCACTTTGTTTTATTCTCTGGGGGGAAAAAAACAAACATAAGACAGACACTCAGTCCCACGGGGTGAGTCGGTAGGTTCTATTTGAAAATATTTGATTTATTTTACCCTCTTTATCAGGACACCCTGAATCTAGCCACCATGGTCTTATCTGGGGAGTAGCGACCTTTGTACCCCTGCAGCCTGCTCACCCACATAGCTTCCCACAGAACAGGCTTTTTCAAGCAAACGCCAGGTGGCGCCCATCCTCACCTGGACCTGGCCGAGAGTGGCCGCACTGCCCCAGCCCCTGTTAGCTCTTTCCACTCTTTCCCCTCCCTGTGCCCAGCCCTGATTCCCGCTGCTTCCCAGAACTTTTTACTCGCGGTTCCTCCTCCTTGGCGGCTGCTATCTATCTATCAGATTATCTATCTATCTATCTATCTATCTATCTATCTATCTATCTATCTATCTATCTATCTCCTTCAAGGGTGCTCACGTCTCATCTGACCTCCACCCCAAGGCTTCATCCTCCCTCTCTTTGTGTTACTGAGTTCCTCATCTGTGAAACACTCTAGACTTGAGCTCCATGGGGGGCGGATGCTTGAACTCTGGTCAAGCTGTGTCCCTGGAGCTGAGCGCAGCACTTCACATTGGTGGTACTTGAGGGAGCAGTAAGCCACTGAGTGAGGTTTTCTTCAGGGATACAGTTCTGGTCTGGTTCTTTGGTATGAAAATCGGGGTGTCCCTCCTGCCTTCATAATTGATGAAGTATTGATTAGCCATGAAAGACCCAAACATGGGAGTGGATATAACAAAGTGGCTGGCAGAATGGCAAAGGGTTGGTCCCAAGTACTCATGTGTATGTGTGTTTGTGTGTGTGCAGGTGCATGTGCATTTATGTATGTATGTATGTATGTATGTATGTATGTATGTGCATGTCGGAGCAAGAGGTTAACACTGGTGCTACCCACTTTGATTTTTTTTTGAGATCTCTTCCTGTCTGCCTCTCCAGTGGTGGGGTTACAAAGCACACCACCACGCTTGCCTTTTTTCCCATGGGTTCCGGGGTTTGAACTTAGGTCCTCATCAACCTTAGGCACTCTGCTGACTGAGCCACCTACCCAGGTCTGGTCTCATTATTTCCACTTCCTGTCTATTTATTCCCTACCCTTTACTTTAGCTCTCTGAGAGATTCTATTCTTTTGCATCCTTCAGGATGAACGTAACGTTAGCTCGGGGCAGTAGCAGATAGAAATGTCCTTGTACAGAGTCCCCAAACTGTTGACTATACACCCCTGAAAGAGTCTTTTAACCTCTGCCTGCTTCTCTTGTCAAGAATAAGTCCTTGCTCCCTGTGGCAGAGCACACCCCTGGGGTAGTGAGCTCGTGGGAAGGGCTGCGCCAGCCTTGAGAGGACCTGAGAACCAGGCAGCTGCTTACAGCTTTCCTGGAGCACATCACCGCCTGTGGTGTCAGCGCAGGGAGAGCCCGCCTCTGTAATAAATAAAATAATCTCTCTAGGCTAAAACAATAGACATCATATAATTACAGCACGAAATGCATATTGTTTTCTGGATATGAATACTGGCTGCAGAAATCAAATTACCTCATTGGATGTGAGAGAATTACTTTAAACATTGATTTATAAGAAGCTGCATAAAACTAAGCCTGCAATCTTTTCTCCTCCGAATACTTCCTGAGATGTGTCTGAATACTGCTATCAATGCTTGATTGCATCTCTGTAATTGTTTTTTTATGGATAGCTTTTTCCCTCTGATACATAGAAATGTATTAGCAAAATCAAGGTTCCTTCCAGAAATAAACAGATGCCACATTAGACCATTCTTTGTATGGGTGCACATCCATTTTTTTGGGAAGGAGACAATTTTACTTAAAGACACGATGTTTGTCTATTAAAAAGCGATTTTCTAAGTATTTGCCCTTATTAAAGAAAGTGATTAGACGAGACTTCAGTACTAAACAGTAGCTAAGCAGGGAGGGAGGAGGGGGGTGCCTCCGCGGTGACACACGAGAGTCAGGAATGAGTAATGTCACAATGAGCCACCACGGCTGACTATTTGGTGACTCAGCATTAAACAGAAGGACTCCAGGTGACATTAAAGTTCAGCTTAACCATAGTGTCAAAGTTACAAGCTGAAGCTCAGCTTGGAGGCATTTATTCAGAACTTTCCAACTCTGCTCTTTCAGGAAGCATCTCTGAGGGGCTGGAGAGATGGCTCAGTGGTTAGGAGCACTGGCTGCTCTTCCAGGGAACCCGGGTGGTTCAAGTCCCAGCACCCACACGGCAGCTCCCCGACATCTCTAACTCCAGTTTCAGGTGATCTGACAATCTTTCGGTCTCCTGCATACACATGGTGCACGCATATCCATGCAGACAAAGTACGGACACACAAAACCAACAAAACAACCGA